GAGTGCCGGGGGCCAGTGGCAGGGCTGCCCGGTGGCTTGTTAGCTACCAGTGAGTGCCGGGGGCCAGTGGCAGGGCTGCCCGGTGGCTTGTTAGCTACCAGTGAGTGCCGGGGGCCAGTGGCAGGGCTGCCTGGTGGCTTGTTACCTACCAGCGTGCTACTACTCTTGACTGCTCTGTGGACTCTGGGGAGGAAGCACACGCCCTGAGCCAAGCATCCCGCCAGCATCTGGCTCCGTCCTCCAGAGGCACAGTGATGCAAACGGCAGCTCAGCTCGGAGCGGCTCCCTTCACTGCTTCCTCCACCCGACTGCTGCCACCCAGCCACAGCAGCCAGGACCCTGCTCAGCGCCTTGCCTGGTGGGCGTGCTCTATCAGGGAGAGTGCTGAGCTCCGACCTTGGCTGTATGGTGCCCACTGCAGAGGTCTCCTATATACCCACCTGGGACAACCTGGGGCTCCTAGCACTCAGCTTTGTCCGAGGCCTTCCATGAGCCTCTGGCCACTCACCACCATCCAGCCAGACCCATGGTGTCTGCCAGGGACAACAGATGTGACATGGGGCCCTCATCTGGGTAGCCACATCATGCCATCACTGGGCCTGTGTCCCTCCCTTGTGTCCAAAGCACTGGAACTCTGGGAAAGCTGGAGTATGTTCCTGGAAAATGTGGGACAACTCATACTGCCCAGGGCTCCCGGGGAAGACAGACTGCTGGCCATTTGGGGGCGGCTCATTGGGGGCCAGAGAGCCAGGAAGGGGACAGCTGTGCACACTGTTCTGCCTCTATCTCAAGTTGACTGTGAACCACATGGCTGGGCGGCTGACAGACATCACAGAACTGCTGGGTGACGTGGCAGCGAGGCAGTGGCCCTGCCTCATGCTCAGGCAGCTGGGGAAGGAAGGTCCCGTGCTATACACGCATGTTTGTGAAGGGTAAATGGTGGTGGCGCCCCAGCCCTCAGGACAGCAGCCATGGCGAGGGCTGGCCAGGGCGCCAGGCACTTCTAGCACGGCAGGGCATCCAGCCTCAGGCACAGGCGCTGCCAGTTCCATGTGCTGCAGACGGGTGGGTGGGACCAATGGGGCCGGGAGGTGTGGCAGGAGGGTGCCCCTCCTGAGTGGGTGGCAGGGACAGGATTGTGGGGCACAGGCTTGGCTCAAATTGATGCCAGACAAGGAGGGTCTCAGAAAAACAAGCTCGAATGTGTCATGGCCCAGTGTACAATTCACGGATTTCAGAGATGAAAGCCTAAGACCTCCAAGAATGTCTTCCCTGTGAACTAATTCTAGCGTTCCCGAGCGCAGCTTCTGACAGCCCCTGGAGCCAGTGCCTGGACCCCCCCCCCCCCCCCCAACGCTGGCACCAAACCATGGCTGACAACACTTCCGGGGACCTGCAGCTGTTCTGACATTTCTGTGGGCCCTGGCGTAGCGTGCCCCACAGCCACGCTGGGCCTACCGGCAAGGAGGGCATTTCTGCTTGAGTCTGTTAGCTGACGTCACGTGAGGCTACTGCTTTGCAAGAGGCCTCTGCATGGACCCGCCTGTAAATCGAAATGGAGTCACTCTGCTAAAAGTCCTGCCAAACCGAAGTCACATCTGACAATCAGTTCCAATCAGCATGATAATGAAGCTCGCTCTGCCTTCTAACAAAAAACCTGATCACACCTAAGCAGGTCTTTTCTACTGGCCCATCTCCTGGCCCTGTCTTACTGGTCAAGGCTCTATGAAGGGACCCCTCCCTCCCTCTTTCTTCAGCCTTTTCTTTCTATAAAACCAATCCTCAGCTCTGAGCACCGGCACCCCCCTCTTTCCTGTGGAATGCAGCATCACCCCATTCTGGAATCATAAATGAAAACAAATGAGATGTTCCTTTTTGAGTGGGTTTTTCAGACAAGGTCTTGCTGTATAGTTCAGGCTGCCCGTGAACTCACTAGGTAGCCCAGCTGCCTGTGAACTTGCGGCAATCCTTTGGCCTCAGTCTCCCGTGTGCTGGGATTACAGGCGTGTGTCACCACGCCTGGCATCAGTTAGCTGCAGTCCTTGTCTCTGCACGGTTCCACTCGGCGCTGCTGGAGAGATGGGCTCCAGTTCTGTTGGTGTGTATGTTCTTTCCTCTGCTGTACCCCAGCCACTCCAGTCTGTTCTTATGGGGTTACTGCAGTCTGCCCCGGGCCTACCCCACTGAGAACAAGCACAGGGGTCTTGGAAGACATGAAAGGTAACATGGGAGCTCTGAGGCCCTCACAGGAAGGAGGGGAGAGCGGGGTGGCTGTGGCCCTCTCTGCCTGTCCCATCTTCTTCCAGAGGGTACAGTAAGCCAGTTATGGCCTGACCTAGTCAGAGACTGGCACCTTTCTGATGGACCTGGCTGATGGGTGGCTGAGCTCTGAGAGGAGAGGCACTGAGCCCAGGCAGGAGCAGGGACAGGAGTAACCGGGGTGTCCTCCACTGAACCCCAAGGGCCAGTGATGAGGGGGAGAGCTGTATGGTGAAAAGTGGGTTTAGATCTTAGCACAGGGGTCACCAGCCACTCCCATCTGCACCGGACACCTGGCTATAAGCCTGGAACCCGGGCCAGGACTGCTCTCCTGTCCCGAGCTGCCTGCTCCGCAGCCTGCCCCTCTTATCTCCACCCCAGGGGCTCGGTGTTCAGGGTTTATGCTTTCTTCCTCTCACTTTTCATTCTTTTTCTTTTAATATATTTGGTACAGGGTCTCACTACACAGCTTGGACTCATAGTGATCCTCCTGTTTTCAGCCTCCCCAGCGCTGGGATTACAGGCGTGTACCACCATGCCTGGTCTTAATGGCAGGCTCAGTGCACCTGGGAGTGCTGCAGGCGCAGCATGTGGTACTGGGGATTAAGCCCAGGGCCCTGCGCTTGCCTAAGCAGGTGCTTAGTCTGCTGAGCTACCTCACTGGCCCTATGAATTTATGTTTTGAAAAACAATCTTTCTGTGGAGCCCAGGCCGGCCTTGAACCTGAGCAATCCTCCTACCCCAGCCTTCCAAGTGCGCCCCCACACCTGCCCCCGTGACAATCCTCTCCCTGGCAAGTCTCAGAGCCTGTCCCAGGACCTGGTCCTTTTCTGGCTGGTCTTTACAACTGTTCAATAAACGCTTTCATTTCAGAGACCATTTTTGTCTCAAAAGTTCTAGTTTAGTGCAGGCAGGGCCACCCAGGCCCCGGGCAGTAGCGCTTCCTCCCCTTCATCCGCCTGACAGAGTGATTTGACCCCAATCTGTGCTCACATCTACCCACTCCTGACTCTTGCTTCCAGAAGTCCAGGACTTCGGGGCCAGCCTGGGCAACAAAGGAAAACCTTGCTTTTTTAAAAAAAAGGGTGGGGGGCTGGGCATGGCAGCTCACATCTGTAATCCCAGCGCCTCACAGGCAGAGGCAGGAGGATTACACGTCAGAGCTGGGCTGGGCAACTGCAGTGACTTGGTGACACTGTCTCAAAATGAAAAACTTAAGTGTTGGTTGGGGCTGCACTTGGGTGTGGAGGCCTGGGCTCCAGCTCTAACACTAAAAAAGAAACAAAGGAATCTGGCTGCCGGCCATGCGACGTCTGGAGCCAGGGACAGGCACCGGACACTGGCCTGGCGAGCCAGTGTCTGCTAATCCCACTCCACAGGAAGAAGGGCATCCAAGGAGACAACAAGGCGCGAGGTGGGAGCTAACCACAGCACATGGAAGCCAGTCTGCGCAGGCAGCCACCACAGAGACACCCAAACATGCGAAGCAGGATGACTGTGCTGGGGTCAGAGGGTTGTAAAAATCACGCCTGCTCGGAAAAGACCACCCAGGATGACTGGGGACGACCCAACCGTCAGGACAGTGAAATCAGGGATTGTATTCCTATCCCAGCATTCTATCACAAAAACTTACAAATACCGAGAAGGTGAAAATTCAGTGAAGACCCAGTAAACCCCAAATGGGAGATTTTAATATTTTTTTCCACATATTTCTATGCTGTCTGTAGTCCTAATCTGAAAATCTGAAATGCTCTAGAAATTAAAACTTTCTGAACGACAACAAGACACCATTCAATACCCCCAACTTAGGCACGCAAGGTATATATGAAATGTAAATGAATTCGGTGCTTAACTTGGTCCTCCCCGAGCTCTCCCCTAATATATATACACAAAGACTCTGAAGTCTGAAATCCAAAACATTTCCTGTCCCTAGCACCTGGAATAAGGATTACTCAATCCGTACCCTAATAGTGAACGGCGTCATGACTGCCAAATGGGCCTGTTGCCCAGGATGGGGTTTGAGGGTCAAGGGGGCTCTGAAAGGGTGGCTGTGCCTTCTCCTGTCCTTCCCAAGGGCACAGGGGTTCAGCAGCTGTGCCGTCCACCTACGAACTGAAGGGGGCCCTTCGTGACGGGGTCGCACCGGCTGGGTCTGAACTT